TCATGAAAATTTCAACGATATTCATAAAATATCCAATAATATATGCACATAAAATAATGAATAAATTCTTTTATTAAATAAATAATAAATATCATATTATATCTTATGCTTCCAAGACACCATTCCCAATACCACTTACGCGGTAAATAATTCATTTATCATGTAAATTGTAATTTATTTTAAATAATTTTAAAATCAGCTATTTTGTCACGACCCCAAGGATAAAGCCGTAATTATTGGAATTTAATTTAAAATTTAACTTAATTTAACTAGATTAGTTAAGGAAAATTCATAAAAATAAAATAAAATATACAAATACTAAAATAAATATTAAAATATATTGCGTCAGAGTCTTTCTTTTACAAACAATATTTAAAACAGTCCATAAAGTTTAAAATTATACATCTCTATGACAATATCAACCAAATGCAGTTTATATACAGAAATACAATATAACTAAGAATTAAAAACTGTAAATTCAGAATAAACTAACCACGTCGAATCTCGTACCTTCAAACCATTGGCATCCACTTACCATGCTGTAAATCTAAACCGCTAACTCTGGAGGGAGGGGTTACAACATTGAAAATAGAGGAAAAGTGAGCGAAAGACCCAGTAGGACATAATTTTATAAAACTGAATAAATAAATGAAAGTACAGGCCCGAATGAATCAGTCGGAACTAAACAACCTTTTTCTTGAAAGGTAAATAAACTGAAATTTCATATTATAGACAACCAGCAAGTAATTTAAGTAATTAAATTACTTACGACCAATGTAAGGCCAAACACCACCGTAGTGGCCCATCCGGGTTTCAGCTTCTGCCCCCAAGGATAAGATCTCCATATCCTGTCTAGGCCATCAACGGGCTTACCAGTTCGCAAGATATCTTATCTTAATAAATATTCATTAAAACTTTAAATCAGTCTATTATGAGATCAATAGCAATAATCAAGTTATTGTCTTAAAAAACTTTTCTTTATTAAACATGTTTTTATCTTTAATAAACATTTACATAGGCTAAGACACTTTAAAACTGGCTAACAAGAAAATGGGTAAGAATATCCTACCTCTTGACAATTTAATCTACGGATAACTTCATGTTACCCAACCGTCTATTCTTAAAACTCCACGGCTCGCTCTAAACCTCAACGAATCCATTCAATTCGCATCGATCTGCATGCATAGTACCATAGATTTTTTAACGGAGTGGAATTAGCACCAACGGATGTCACCACTGCGTTCAGCATGTTGAAACGAGTCGGGATATGGTCTTAGATCTTCGATCGGACGTTGGGAACCTCAAGAACTGAGACTCGTTGGAATCCGACCACCGGCGGCGGTAGTAGTGGCGGTAGAGGTTACCGGAGCACATTTCCGCGGCGGACATGGGTCATACCTGTTAGCGTTTATGCCCTTAGGAATAAATGTAACAATATTCTTTGAGACACTTTTGACTATTAATAAAGATTTATTTATTAATTATATCTATGTATTGTCCTGTTTATGTTCATAATAGTTGAATGTATGATAAGCAAACTGAAAGTCTGAGACTGTCATTCTATATCTTTAGGTCATGCATGTAATGTCAAGAACATGCAGAAGACAAGAATCTAAAGATGATAGTCGAAATCTTATTATCCACAATCGAGGGAATAAAGTTAGGCACTTTATTCATGTTAAGATTGTTATGTTGTCTATTTCCTAACGGAGACGGCTTGTCTTGGTCGGCGGAGGTGTGACTCTATGGGTGGGGACATTGATATAGTTTCTAATGGTGAAATCTATATTGGATCAGACGAAACTTGAATTGTTTTAATTAATAATTCTGTTTGAATAAAACAATTCACTTTTGACGAATTATATGTTGTCATCTTAATCCTGAGATGGATAATGAACCCGTATGCTTGACTTGTATCCTTTGATGTACTAAAGGGAGACATCCTGATATTATGTAAAGGTATGCTTGCCGGTACATTGGGGGTATGACTCGTGTATGCGTAGATTCCTTATTCATAGATAGTGGAATCCATAGCTCCTATAGAGAGTCAATGATATCCTCTTATGCATTATCAGTGGATTGGAAAATACGAGCGCTCAGCCATTAGACTACTCTGTATTATCTAATGGTTTACTGTTTGTAATTGTACAAATAGTGTTTTTCCGATAGTACGATAATGGAACAGAAGATAAATGTAATCGGGAAGGTAAAACGGAACTTGACCTCAAGTCGATTATGGATATCCTATGGGGATGATACACTAATATATTGAGTCATGAACTAGAGCTAATCAGACCTTTGTAAATACGCTATATAAATCGAGAGTGTGACTCAAGGCTTTTAGTGGAATAGCGCTAGAGTTTTATAATCATGAGACGGACTTGTTGGTTTACAAGTAGCGTTGTGATTATATGAGCTTGATTTATATATGTCCATCGGGTCCCTTTGCTAGCTCACATAATTTCCTGTAACGATACGGCGTATTTCCTACATATTGGTAACTTGTGTTATTTCCGTAAAAGAGGTTCAAAGTTAATATGAGAATGGTTGATTCATGAGTGATTTATCAGGTGAATTAATTGATAAATTAATTCTAGATAAATTTGTTGAATTATTGTTTTAAGAGTTGTTTAATATGGGAAGACTATTATATGATTGTTTTGATCAGGCAATTTCTCTATTGGGTTGCTTGAATCAAAACTGAGGCTCTATGCAAGTTTTCCATGTTGAAAAATTAGGAAAACAACTTTCGTCAGTGCAGACAGGTCGACTGGTTAGGTAGATCGGTCACAGGTCAACCGGTCCGGTCGATCGGTTCATGAAGGACAGGTCGACCGGTGAGTTATAACGTCTCTGTCACCGGTCGACCGGTTGTAACGTAAAATGCATGCTGATGTGGCAAAATCGACTCTGGATGCGATTAAGACTTTGGGAAACCTAATTATTACGGAAGTATGACTTCCTAAACACTATAAATAGCCTATTAAGTCACATTACTCATTAGATTACTTGAGAGACTTTTTGGAGGCTATTGATAAAAGATTCCTGAGAGGAAAAATTATTTAATTCTTAAGAACAATTTTTTCTTTGGCTCTTTTGTGATTGGAAAGAGATCAAGAATACCAAGAGGAGATTGAATGACGTATGCCTACCCGCACTCCGATCGTGGAAACAAGAATAGCAAACAAGACCAGTTGGTTGAGGCTCTTATGGTTGCTGTTTGGAACGCTTTGATATGTCAGACGTGCAGTTTTCTAAATCTCAAAAGGTATGATTTATATCTTTAGTATTTATGTTATATAGCATCATGAACATGTTCTTGGTTGGGTTTGACGTTGATTAAATTTTTTAAATTCCACTGCACACTCAATGCCATTATTTTCCAATAATTGGTATCAGAGCCATGGTTATTTGTTCATGAGTATGCTATGTACATAGATTTGTGATCTAAAAATATCTCTTTTATGCTTGAATTGATATTTTAGAGAGATGGCACTCTAGGGTTTCTATATTATGTTGTTATCATGAATATATAGTGAATGGCTGATTAAGTAATTATTATTGATTATTATTTATAAATTATCAATGGTTTTTGATTATTTAATTTTTACCGGTTATGGTTCCTTAGAGTTTAGAATGGTTGTATAGGAATTTGTTCTTTATAATGTAATTCGATATACGGCCTATCATCGCCGTTAGGGTTTATTTTATTTTCTTTAATAGAAATTTTATAAACCGAAAAACGATATAGGAATTTTCATGTAAAATTCATGGAGGAGATGTATCATGGATCTTGAAGAAGGATCTTGAAGATGGATCATGAAGATGGATCATGAAGATGGATCTTGAAGATGAAGGATGTAAATGTATCTAATTTTTCTTAGTTTATAAAATTGTTTTGTGTTTTTGAATAAATTGAAAAACTACTTTGATTTCTGTTTTTTCGGATTTTGGTGACAATTTTTTTTGAAATTGTCAAAAATATGGAAAATTCAAAAATCTGGGTTACTGTCGCACAGACACCGGTCGACCAGTTAGTGTAAGGCGGTTGACCAGTTGAGTATAACTACTTTGTCACCGGTCGACCGGACCTAACGTGACAGTACACAATTTTACAGTTTTTTGAGATTTTTTCAAGAAAACATGAAAAATAATTTTATGATAACCAGAATTTGATCGTGATGAAGAATTCAAGGACAGCCGGAAAGATTCAAGATGAAGGATCGATATATGTTTCGATTATTCTTAGTAATCTTTATTTTTTCTTTTCTCTAGGTTGGAACCATAATATCACGGTTATTATTATTATGTTTGTTGCCTAGCTTAATTGCTTTGTATGATTGCATATAATATGATTTGCTATATATTTGATAACATGTCATGTAGAATAGGGAGTGCCGCTCATTAAAATTGTTCATGCATATTTCTTAATATAAAACCTTGTTTTCTAAAAGATTGAGTGGGTGAGGGTTTTTGAAGAAAAGACCCATGGCCTCCATCGTTGGTCCGCAGGTGACACATGGTGATACCGACCCCTGGGAAGGGATTCATTATGTACTAGTGTGGATCTCCGAAAGGATAATTTATTTGAGCATATTTTATGGCTGTACACCCCTAGGTGACAATTATAAATTATGGATCAAATAGTTCAAACGATGGTTATACACTCAAGATTAATTTAATTATTAATCTCCCATAGAAGCTCTGCTAATTAAATTAATGGCTAAAGAAAACGATTATCAATATATGCTGGACAGAGATTGATCCGGATGATATATATTGATCGGAGGGGATCCGTGTTCCCAATTAAATTTTGCATGATCTCCCCTAGGAGACTTACAAAATTTTGAGTTGGGAATTATCGTTGTGAGGTTGTGATTTTTTCAAGGTTTTGACACACAAACATATTTGTTGCATTATAACATGTATATATGTTTGATTACTAAATATTTATGCAAGTTTGCTTATACTAGATATATGAATGTTTATTGTAGATCAAAATGTCTTCTAGCGCATTATCATCAATACTTAATAAACACAATTTAACTGGCGAGAATTTTACCGATTGGAAAAGGAACCTAAAGATCGTCTTAACCTTTGAGAAACTAAATTTCGTACTGAATACACCTTGTCCTCCGGAGCCACCTGCTGATGCTCCTAATGAGGTTTTCATAGCGTATCAACGTTGGAAGAACTCTGACGATATGGCTCACTATTATATGATGGTGAGCATGTCCACTGTGCTACAAGCACAACATGAAGATTACATAACTACTCGTCAGATTATGGATAATCTTGAGGACATGTTCGGTGGCCAAGCCGCTGAAAAACGTCGGGAAGCCCTAAGTAACCTCATTAACTGCAGACAGAAGGCTGGGTCTTCCATAAAGGAACATATGCTGAAGGTGATGGGCTATTTGGCTGAAGTGTAGACCAATGGGGCCGACATCGATGCTGAGTCTCAATTGACCATGATCTTTGATCTTTAGTATTTATGTTATATAGCATCATGAACATGTTCTTGGTTGGCTTTGACGTTGATTAAATTTTTTAAATTCCGCTGCGCACTCGATGCCATTATTTTCAAACACTACCCCCCCTAAATTGACCCTTTTAAGTTCAATGGTGCAGTCAATCTCACAAAATTCTGACTCTAACTACACAGATCGGGACAGCCAACTTCAAAGAATTTCGGTGACTGGTTCTCGATTCTCCGACTATGGAAACTCAAAATTGGTTGAGGGCTTTCATTACCCATGATCTTCTGAAAATTTAGGCACCAAAAGCATGACGATTCAACGGTTGGATCATCGAAACCACCCTCCAACCAAACGGCGGCAGCGGTGAGCTCTGATCTCTGGAAAACGTGGCAAATTTGGGCAGCTGAGGGTTGCTTATTACTTTACATCGTCCTCTGAGTCCAATGGCACCGGCGGTGTCAAAAACGGTGACTGGAATAGTGCACAACGGAGAGGAGGCGCGGCGGCCAAAATGGGCGGCTCCGGCGACGGTGCTCCAGCGAGAATCGACGGGTGAGACGGTATGGTTTTTTTTTGTCTTGTTGAGTTGAGTCCATAGGAACTGGAATCACTCCGATCAGAGGTCGGACGGCAAAGTTACGACGACGAGAAGTTTCGGTAGTTTTTAGACATTTCGTCGGCGATTGCGGCTGTTTCCGGCAGAGATGTAGGTCGTGCGGCATGTCAACGAGTCCAGCTCATCGAGAGCTTTCCGATGGTATGGGCGGTGTCGCGAAACGACACCAGAATCTCATCGGTGGTAGGTGGCCGCATGGAGAGAGTGAGTGTTAACGTGGGAGAGAGAGGAGAGAAAAAGGACAAAAAGAAAGAAAAAGAAAAGAAAAAAGAAAAAATGAGCTTAAACTTTTTAGATAAATTTGATAATTAGACTTTAAAGTTTAAATTAAATAGAGTACGGACTGACTCATTATTCATGTTCTTAAAAATTAGTTACCAACACTTAAAACTGTTCGAGAGACAGCAATGTTAATTTTAAAACAATCATTTTTAAAGAGAAATGTCATTTACGTGATAATTATACATGATAATCTTTTACTAATCTCAAATTAATTAACACTAACCATGAAATTTAATTAATTAATCTTAATTAATTTAACTAGATGTTACATATTTACTTAGGCTTAGTTTGGTAGTGCTGTGGATTTTAAAAAAATTACTTTTAGCTGGGCTGAAGGAAGAAGTAGTTGTTACAAGAAGTAGCTGAGTATTTGGTAAATTGTAATTATAGTAGCTGTGCTGATTTCAAAATCAGTGTAATAGCGTTTGGTAAATTTTGATGTTGAATTGATGTGGGTATGTAAAATGACCAAAATAGACATGGTATGAAATTAAATATATATAATTATTTTTTGTATTTAAAAATACTTGTTTAACTTTAAAAAAAACATAATGGTATGGTTTTGAGTTTTTTAACAATAAATTAATGATAATTAATTCTTGTTTTTTTTTTTTCATTTCTTCATTCACAATATAATTACAACTAAAAGAAACATTGGTGAGTAATTAATTTGTTGAATAAAAATGTACATTCCATAAACAAGTTAAATGTTTGATCGTCAAATGACCAAGTTACATAAACAAGTTGGGCCTTGATGCGTTGTATGTGGTCTTCAGCTTCCTAGTTGGTGGCCTAACCTTCTTGTACACTAATGGAAACTTATCTTTGAGTTGTGGAATTGTTTTGTGCTCTCTCTCTTGCAAAGCTTGGCAGGGACAGTTGCAGCCTTGATAATCTGACTGCATAGGAACCTGACTCGATGGCGAGAAGCCATTTCGTTGTACATCTGCTCCACGGCACCATTTAGAGTGGTGTCACAGAACTCCTTGTACATATTATGGTACCCAGTTCGGCTATGATAACGCAGCCAAATACCATAATTATCAATTTTTGTGGGGTTCTTCTAAAAAATCTGCAAGAAAATATGATAAATTTGTTGAGAAATTTCATGCTAAGAAACGAGCTAAACCAAATGATAATTAATTACAGAACCACAAATAAAGAACAATCAACACACATTATTTTACTTGAATATAAAAACACGTGATTAGAAAGGAATAACTATTTTACCACATAACACAAGAAAAATGAGCAAATAAAAATATTATTTCAAAATACACACATGATTTATTTTTTATTTTTTTAATAAACACAGAAAGAACAAGCTTTAGGAGGAGGTCAACCTAGAGGACCATAAATGCTCTCTCTCAGTTTTCAGGCAACACTAATACCATAACTGCAAACAAGTAACAACAAATACCACTTTAATTAGGCATAACATGATATATGAAAGCTCTTGTCCATAGAGCTACGACTACAAGCCGCCGCCAATGAACGCAATGAGAGTAATTTCCCATTTATTTGTTTTCTTGTGCCTGATTTAATTATCAAACTTAATCCAAAATACAGAAAAAACAACTGAACTCAAAAAAAAAAAAATCATGGCAAGCTGCAGTGTATAAATGAATAGAAAAGCAGTTGGAATATTAACATCAGCAACACCATAACAGGAATTTGAGAATCATCAAAGCATAAAAATTGGAAAATTACTTTATTCATACGAATTTCTTGACAATATACAAAGACAACAATGATAAAAATTTGAAAAATTACATAAAAAAAACCACAGAAAATATATTCCTAGTTCATTTTGTCAAAAAGGAGCAGAGAAGTGCAAAAAGTTTCCACCTCTATGGTATTCTTGATCACAAAATGTCAACTCAGTGAGTGAACATAACTAAAACTCTATTGCAAAAATCTGAGATTTGTAGTTTCATTTGAATCAAGGGAAGGTAATTTCAAAGAGGCAGATATGTCTAGAAATCTTAATTAAATTTTGGCAAATACCAAAAAAGGGGGAACAACATCCAAGGCTCTCATTCTAGAACACCTTTGGCTCGGATATCTAAGGCAAAACTTTGCTTTGCTCTCATTCTAGAACAACTTTGGCCCTGAGCGGTTCTGCTTTTCTACTATTTGCTCTCCTTCCTCCTTCGACAGTCCTTTTTTTAAGAGAGCATTTGGCATGCAGTAATCAACAGTAATTATATTTCTGGGAAAGTGATAGTAGGTAATATGATTTCTAGAAAATGTATATTATCATGTTTGGTTGCATGAAGGAATCTTTTCTCAGATTTCTAGGAATGTTTAATTATTGAGTTTGGTTGTGCATGGTAATGTAATGTATTTTTACTTTTAATAAAAAAATCAATAATTTTGAGTATTTTAAAATTAATTGGACCTTATTAATCTAAATAATTATTATTTTAATAATCTATTTTAAGGAAAATCTTAGCCTAATAGAGATTTAAAAACGAAGGGAGTATATACAAAATTTAAAAACAAATTTTTAAAAAGAATTAAAAATAGAAAATAAATAAATTGATAAATAAAGAATTTCTTAAATTTTAAAACAGAAAATTTTTAAAATGAAAAAAAATGCTCTTTTTCTCCCTTTGTCTCCCTTCATTTTCTTCACACTCTTCCCCCCGCCGCACCCTATCGCTGTGAACGTCAGCCTGGCCCAAGCCAGTCGAGTGTCAGAGTACCTTACCCAGACGATGGTGGCCTTATCGTCGTCCGGATCGTCGTCGGAGAAGCAGAGGGCGGCGCTGACGACTAGGTGGTTGACTCGGTGGGGGAGCTTGTGACGGTAGGGGAGTGCGACGGTGAGGGAGCTTGTAACGGTGGGGGAGTGCGACGGTGGGGGAGCTTGCAACGGTGGGGGAGTGCCTGAGATTGATTGAGGCTTGAAATAGAGGAGGGAGTGCGATGGTGGGGGAGCTTGGACGATGACGGGAGGCAGCAGACAGCGGTAGATGGCGGCAAACGGCCGAGGATGGGGAATAGATCTGCAAGGTCAGGGTTGCGGCAGTGGCGACGGTGATAGTGGAGCTGTGTTGGTCAGATTGCTATGGTTTTGTGATTCCAGGGAATGTGAATAACACCCTCTTGGGTGTTATTCAGATTACCCCAAAATGGGGTAAAGTGAATTCCATAGGATTCACTTTTTCAGGAATTTAAAAATTATAATTCTTGTACCAAATATGGAAATCTTCAAGATTCCCATTCTCATCCTTAAGATTACTGTATACCAAACGCACCCTAAGATTGATGGTGTCTTCTCTATTAAGTCCTTTGCTTCCTTAAGGCCTAAGTTAGTGCAGCTCCTGACCTCCTTGATAAGTTTAATTTTCGAAGCTGCCTCGTATGATTCCAATTTCAATTCGAAGACGGTCTTTTCAAGTTTCTTCTCCTCCTTGGCTGCAATTGCTGCTTTCGTTGCCAACGCCATTCCAGCTAAGCAAGCAGCTCCTGGTTTCATAACTCTGACACCTGGTGGTTCCGTCATGCCCCTTTTTTTACATCAAAATGGCACCTAGCTCAGCAACTTCAGTCAGTGTAAGTCCTGATATTTCATCAATAAGCTTGAAAACACGCTCAGTTGGAGGATTGCGGTGCTCAGAATGCTCAAAAGCAATTTTCATAAATATCAACCAAAAATCACAATAGTAATTTTGAACAATCAAACAAATTCTGACTTTTAACTTTCTTAAGTTTCAGCCTTTACTCAACTTCTATTACTTTAACTTCCAACAAATTCAATTCAATGCAGTTGTTAAGAGAGAATAGGAGCAAAATTCAGTTCTGATGATCGAATAAATATAAATGAAGTCTGCTAGTCTTCGAAAACATACAATGGGATAAATCAAACTCAAGCAATCAACCTAAGTGGCTTGATTTACCCCAAAATTGAACTTTCCGAAAATAAACAAAAAACAAAAAAAAAAATCAAAAGGCCTAAAAACGTACTATGATAGTGATGTTAGGAGGGAGAGCCCAGGCGAGGGAATTGTGCTTGGAGGCGCGCTTCTTGGCGGAGCGCTTGGCAGCCTCGAGAAGAGCCGAGCCCAATTAGAGGACGCGATCGATGAGGAGCGTCTGATCGGAGTCAGAGGCGGAGGAATCAAGAAGGCGGTCGAAGGAAAGGTCAATGGAGAGAGGGGATGAATCAGAGTGGCGAAGAAGAGAGTGCAAGAGGTGCTCGATGTCGGAGTGGTTGGGATTGGGGATTCTAGGGTTTCGGAGAGCACAAAAGAGAATGGGTGAGAGAGAGAAATTGATGAGTTTGAAAAACGATGGGTAAGATGGTGAATTTCATAATTCACCAGGGGTATATTGGGTAATAGGAAATTTTCATTAATGGACAGCAGGTGATTCCCGCACAAGTTAAAATCTAAAGCTCCCTTTCAACTGATTCTAATTTTAGCTTCAAATTCTTCAAAAATTCTTCCAAAATCTATTTTTATGAAGTTTACCAAACACAGTTAACTGCTTTGGATGGTTAAATAATTGCTTTTGACCTCTAAAAATCAATACCAAACTGGGCCTTAATTTGATTTTAAAGATTTATTATTTGCTACAATCTCCCAAAAATGTGTCATTAACATATGCAGTTGAGTCGCAAATAGTGAATTTAAGGGCCCAATGTCACAACA